TTCGTTAGATTTCGATGATCCTATATAATCCCTTCCATATATCGAAATTCAATATCCCAAATATTGTTGAAAAAAGATTATCCCATCGTACGTCGACAATACTCGCCGACCCGATCACACAAATTAACTAACAAGTCCCGAACCCCTTGTTCAAGACCACGCAAATTCTCGGCTCGAAGCCGAGATCAACCGCCACGCACCTCACAACGATAGTCGTGTGCGCGTGCTTACGCTGGACATATTGGGTCGCAATCCACAATGTCCCGGTGGCATGAGTAAGTAAGACTGAAAATTGAAAAGGACTAATCATCATCATATCCAACGTAATTCGAAGATATTGAGACCAAGAATTTTGCTGAAGGATAGGGGGGGCGCCGAGAATAATATATCAGCTGGTCGATAATTCGGATCGTACGGCAGAAGACCACTAGCCCCCAAAATAATAATCAAATATCAAGGTGCGTATATCGAAAGATAATATTATATAAATTAGTAAAACAAGGCAAGAGAAAGCAAAGCACCCCATTCATGCTTTTCTGCAAGCACTGCAATGGCCTAAGCAAATCCAAGAAATAAGAAGAAGCAACAAAGAAAACTATCAACCTCTTTGTTGCCGTCAAATCACTTCCAACAAAGCCTTCACTTCATGAAAGCGGTTCGGGGCAAATCATCTTCGAAGGCTTTGGCCTGCCGTATGACCTGCCCATGACCTGCTCAGCTTCCAGGCGCTATGCAGGAAACAGTTCAGGCGAGAGTGCCAGCGCGTGAGACTCTGCAGCTCAAGCCCAGGCGGTGAGGATTCATTTACGTCACGGCGCCGGATCCTCTGGAAGGTCCTGCAGCACAACGGGCCAATTGCTGTGGCGCAGGTCATCAACAATGCGTGAGAAAAGAGCGCAATTCCTCCTCCGCTCCGAGATGGCATCTTCGGAGGGCTCGACCGCGAACATGCCGGCCTTCTCCCTGAAGCTCTTCTCTGCGAAGATCCCGGCGCCGAGCATGGCCGCGTAGAGGCCGTGGATCTTCATGAAAACGAAATCCTCCCAGCACTGTGCGAGGGCGTAATCCACGCCACGCGAAGCGAGGGCCTCCTGGTAGGCTTGCACGATCGCGCGCTCGTGCTGGCGTCGGTCTTCGGAATCGAGGGAGCTCGCGACGAGCCAGGCGAGATCCCGCACCCCGGGGCTGAGGTTCACCGACTGGAAGTCCAAGTACACGTTGGTCCCGTCCTCCAAGCAGAACATGTTCTCGATGTGCAAATCGCCGTGAACCAATGCCGCCGGCAGGCTTGTCCACCGATCAAAGACCGCTGCCCAGCGTGTCTGCAGCAGCGGCCAGACATCTGCTTCAAAAAAGCGCCAGAACTCGACATAACCGTCGAAGTCCTGGAGCTCTGCAGCCGAAAGCGGCCCGTCGGCGCCGAACACCTTTAAACCGAGATTCGTGCCCATGCTGAACACGCCCTGGAGGGTTTGCTTCTTCCCCGGGTCCTCGATATGCCCACAGCCTTCGAACTTCTTCAGGCCACTTTCGTCGGTCTCGTCCCGGTAGCGCGCGTGAGTCCAGCCCCAGTACGGCGCATGTAAAATAGCGAGATCTTTCGCTGCACGGAGCGCGTGCTCTACCGACATGGGTCGGAGGATGTCGTACGGCTTTGCAGTGATGGGCTCCATGAGAATCACGAAGAGCGGCGCCTCGCCGTCCTCCGCGACGTAGTGTGTGAAGTAGAACTGCGGTACTCTGAAGTCCTTCGAGTCAGGCAAATCTTGGAGCATGCGCGTGACAAAGTTCACTTCCATGTGCCACAGTTTTGTGCATTGGCCAACCGGAATGACTAAGTCGGCTGGGAACAGCTTCACAAAGATCGAGCCAGGAGCATCGGGAGCTGAAGGCGCGTACGTGATGTTCTTGAGCAAGCATTTGTCGCCTAAGTAGCCCTTCTCCTTGCCATAGATAATCTTCTCGAGTGAAGCAATCCGGGTGTCCACACTAATGTAGCCCTTGCTTCGCAGTGCAGATGCGATAAACTCTGCATCAACTTCGTCCAAGTTCCGAGGAAGACTCGGCTGCTTGTCGTCTTCGCCGATCGTCCCGGGAGGAGAGGAAGGCTCCTCCTCCTTTCCGATCCCGTCGGCCTTCACCGACGAAGGATCGCCTACGGCTTGATGATGATTCTCTTCCTTCGTGCCCCCTGCAGCCTCCGCCTTGGGCGGTGCCGCGTGCACCTCAATCGGCGCCAAGGAAGCTCCACAGCCCATGGCGCGAAACCGATTGACAGCGAGACTTGAGTCAATACCCTGCAATTTTCGCACCCGAGAAGAATAGCCACGAGTACAAACTCAAGAGCATGTCTTCTAATGTTCGCGAAGATAGTAACAAAACGCAGGGCTCTCGACTAGATCGCTCGTCGATAGGTTTGGCAAAAAACCATGAAGTTGCCTCAAAACAGAGTAGTGTCATGCTGTTAGTACATCAATGCCAACTGCTGCACTCTTCAAGCACTGATCACTGTGGTGAATGCAAGCAACATCTAGAAACACAAGCCGTGGGCACAAAGGCAAGGCCGACCAGTACGCAACAACTCCGCATGTCAAACGAGTGTTTGGAGACCGTGGCTGCGTGCGCAGCTCTCATGATGAAGGCTTCGAAGTGACATCACTGAATCAGAGTGGATGCCACATTGATGCCACAAGAAAACCAGCAGTCCACGGGTCAACGAGAACTACGTTCATCGCTTTCGTGCAGAAGCTTTCCAGCTGTGGGACCGGAATTTCAAATCGATTGTTGCCTCGGGAATATCGTAAAGAGCGTCCAGAGATCCATGGAGGCAGTGCCGAAAAGCATCTGCCACTGCAGCATGGACACCCTAACGTCCTCGGCTTCTCGTTTATGGCTCTCATGGCGGCCCAGTTCTCCGAAGCAACTGCTATTTGGCGCTCTCACCACTACTGTGCTGAAAACCCATCGTCCAGACCTCCAGGGCATCTCCTTCAGAGCAATCCTTTGAAACACCAGTCCCCAGTGGGCCTGGAAGCCCCTGCTGGGCCGAGAAGCCACACGGAAGGCCCGGAAGGCCCGGAAGGCCCAAAGGATCCGGAAGGCCCGCAGAGCAAGTCTGGCTCGGCTCGAGCACACACTCAAACCTGTTTAGGGTTTGGGGCTTAGGGTTGCAAACCGCCACCTGATCTTGAGACCCTCAGAAGTTCCACACAAATAGTACTAAGCGGTTGCCTCTCGACCCAAAGTCAGGGACTCACAGTTCCCAAGCGGTCTGGCTTTGAGGTTTGGGGGGACGAGGATCGCGGTCTAGGTCGTGGAAGTTGCAGTGGCTTTTCAGAAGCGCTTTGGCTGTTGCAGGCCGGTTCTTATCAGAAAATTTAGGCTTTAGCGCACTGGAGGCTATCGGCAGCTTGTCTGGAGAACCGATCTTTTCAAGAGGCACATGTCATCTCACGAAGCCACTTCTAGGAACGGCGTACGCGCTCATCTGGGGGTGTTCCAAATGAGGATCCCTCTTGATGAGGGCCATTGTTCATAAAAACTTACTTGACCAGAAGGGAACAAGCGGATCCTGTGTAAACAACCCGTCTGCCAGCGCGTCAGATCGATCTAACACTCCAGCCCCCGCACGCGCACACAGCGCAGGCGGTGGCAGTGAAACAAACAGAGGACAGTCACGCTGTGCAACCCGAAAACCTTCACCGACCTGATCTCTAATGGTCTGATTTGATTTCTTGCTGGACGAAGACGCAGGCCGAGCACATGAGCTGTGATTTACAATGCCAAAGCTTCGGTATCCTACATCCTTGAATGCTCCTGTGCCAGGAGGCACAGTACAACTCGCCTCTGTGCAAACCCCAGGACAAGCGCCAAGTGAGATGAAGAGTCGAGTCTCAAGCCCCTCCACCCCTCCACCCCATGAAAATCTGAAGAGCCTGAACTGCCCTCAAGTCTCAGGACCGGAAGAGGCCCAATGAGCTCGGAAACCCCAGAAGCCCTGAAAGTTTGTGCGTGACCATCCTCCTGCGAGAGGGGCAGCTCACGAGCACACGATCCTTTGGCTGCCGAAGCCTCCCAGTGATTTGCAATCCTTCGGCTGCAGGAGTTTCTCAGCGATCTTCAAGGCGATCCTTGGGCTCGTCTTCGGAAGGGTTGAGGGTTAGGGTTTAGGGTTCAGGGCTTAGGGTTTAGGGTTTTGGGTTTAGGGCTTTACCCTGTTTCAGCCGAAAACGCCGCAAACGTCTCCCAAGAGCCTCCTGGAATCTCATTCTCGTCGAGATCGCGGCAGTCAATGAAAGCAATATTCGGCCGGAGCACCATCCGTATTACGGCCCTGCAGAGTCAGGGTCAGAGGCAGCAGTACTTAAAAGCCCACTGGAGAGACAAATAGGGTTTAGGGTTTGTAAGGTCTAGGGTCTAGGGTTTAGCGCTTACGACAGACAGCGCTTCAAACCCCGAAGCCCTGAACAGCCGAATCTTTGAGCGCTCCCTGAAACCTTCAGAGTTCACAGCTGAATGCTTACATTAACCCGAAGCTCTGAACTTCCGAACCCGAAACCCTATGACCGTTAACCCCCAATTTCTGAACCCCAAACTCTGACGTCCCTTCAGCTCTGAACTGCGAACCCTGAAGCCCTTCAACCTTAAAACCCTGAACCCCAAACCACCCTAAACCCTCAACCCTGAACCCTATTCCCCTAAACCCTCTATCCCTGAATCCTATTCCCCTGAACCCTAAACCCTAAACCTTACTTCCCCAATTCCCACCTGGCTTCGCCTTCCTTGTCGTAGCTGTGCAGCGGACCCCAGGGAGGGCTCGGAGGGTACGTCTCCTCGACTTTCAGTGGTAGCACCTCGAGGCCTGGGCGCCACTTAGGGTTTAGGGTGAGAAGGGGTTCGGACTCAGAGTTGAGGGTGGAAGGGTATTCCGCAATGTGAAAGAACATCTTGAACCATAATCACAAGAATCGAAGAATCGTAGCGTCGTAGTACTTATAACAATAGTACTTGCAACCGAGATGCAACAACAATGTTCGTCACAATAGTGTGGCGAGAGGACAGCTAGTAATGTCACATGTCACGTCTAATGATCTTCACAAACATACAGGAACGGTCCAAGTTCAAAGTATGAACAATATTACTAATTTGCAAGCGTTTGTTCCCGGGGAAGAGACCCTATGGGAATTGACGCTCGGAACTCTTTCCATACCCTGACCCAAGTGGGGGTTTACGAAAATGAGGGACCCTAGTACAGTCCTCAAATAATAGGATTCCCGAAAATAAGGGACCCTAATAAGGTACCCCTGTTTTCGGAAACCCCCAAATCCTGAACCCTAGAAGCTGGCAGACATGGGATGCTTGTAGCCGAGGAGCCGTAGTCCTGGGCATAGCGAAGCTCATGGAAGGTGCTGAAAGGCGAGCTGGTCTTCTCGCCGTAGTCTTTTGTGCACACCTGGGGTTGGTGTTCTCATTGTGAAGGCAATCCTTACATTTGGGGGATCTTTTTTGGGGGTCCCATTTTCGTAACCCCACCGACGCTCCTCCACCCAGCCCGGGGCTTAGGGTTTGGGATTGGGGGGGGGGTTTCTAGGTTGCCCTTTGAAAGCCTCTCATTCAAAGGATTCGTGAGAGCATATCCTAAGGGACTCAAATGGCTAGAAGATCTCTGGACGCGCGTTTAAAGTGTCTGGGCACCCCTCATCCTGAGTCCTGAGCCCTAAACGCCGTTACCTTGTAAAAGCGTACACCGTTGTACACCGTTGTACACCCCCAAATCCCGAATGAACGGTTTTTGCCCAAGTGAGCCCGAGATGCACAGATCATCACTCCATCGTGCTGAGCCACGTGGTCCAAAGACAGCCTGATCTCGGCCCTTCTGAAGCCAAGTGACTGGGTGCACTATAGCGAGCGGCTTCGCAGGGTTCGGGCTGCGAGTTCAGGGTCTTAAGCACGCGAATCTGGTACTAAGTGCTAGTTACTAGCACTGGAAATCGCCTCGCGCAAGGCGACTTAAGAAACACCCTTTTGACACCTCCCCTACCCAGAAGTGTGGGCTCAACGACCTCCTCTGCATGTTCGGCCTTCAACATAGAGAAAACGATTTTGCACTACAGTGCTGGCAACAACGATCCAAGACCTTAGCCTAAACCCCCTATAAGCCATCAACTGATTGCCCACGCAACTAGGCACACTGAGTTGGGATTCAAACTGGACGAGCGGGCAGTAGCACAGGTTGCCTTTCTGATGACGGCTGATTACGGCCCGAGCTTCGTCACCTTCATGCCAAAGTCGTCGCCGGCTTTCGCGTTGACCATTAGGACATTGAAGTTGTTATCCCTCCTTGGCTGCTTCTAGGGTTTTAGATTTTGTGCTTCCGAGCGTACGCTTTCGCTTCTTTTTTTGTGCTGATCTACTCTGCACTGTGCACCGTGTGATCTGCACGTCAAATAAACCAACATCTACACTATACCGTACATAAAACCATTACATCTTCACGGTCCTGTGACTATTTCCCTCGACAGCTCTCGTTTTAGGGCTTATAGGGTTGAGGGTTTAAGCGCAGTCCGAGCTCAGGAGCGCGTGCACCCGCCGGAACTTCGCGTACATCGGGCCACCATCGAAGCGCGCCGAGAACCTTGGCTTCATCCAGCGGGTTGCTAGTTCCGCAAGAAAGGGGGTAGGGGGTAAGGGGGGTAGGGGGGGTATTAGGGTTTCATCGCTTAGTGGTTTGTAGGGCTCAAGGGTTAGGGTTTGGGGTTTAAAGTTTTTGGGGACGGGGTCGAGCTGGTGGCCTCTCTTCAGCCGCGAATAATAAAATAAAGGTGAACATAGAGGATTTTGCTATGAATTATGTTTTAATGGTCATTCCGTCATATGTTGTTATAAGTTAGTTTGAGTATCTTTCGTAGATAAGTTTAGAACAAGTGTTGAATATATACTATAGAAATATCGTTACTAAGTAGAAAAATGGAAATATATTTTGAAAACTTGATGAATTTATGGGTGTTGGAGCAGCCATGGCATATGTAGAACCATGCCCTGTTAATGAATCGCATAAATCTATATAAAGTAATGTGAAATATGTTCTTTAAAATGAATAACAGCTTCTACAGAGGAGTACTAAGCCTTACACAGATATACCCAAACTAAACAACATTAAGATCATGTACGTGTAAATTAATACACAAACTAAGCAAGAACAAAATATAGCTCATGTTTTAGTTTCAAAAACATTTTAACACTCACGGCACTCTGACAAGTCCTCACGTCATGGCCGAGCAGGTGGCCGATTAGGATGCCACGGGAACTCGAACAACCCCCAGACGCACAGCGGCACCTATGAGGCAACGCCGCCCCTGGAGAATAGGAAGAGCCATGCAGCCCGACATGAAATCTACGGCATACAGGCCTTCCATCCCACCAAACAGCATGACTCTTGCACGTGTTTGTTATAGCGAACATTATCAAAATCACACGTCACCTACGATCTTGCTCAGTTTGTCGACAAGATCTTGCAGCTCACGTTCATTGCCAGAGCGCGGAGCTGTGCCTCGCTTGATGCGACCACCAGCTTTACCGATGGTGCGGAGCAAGGCATCGAGGATCGGCGACATGTCAGGGCACACCGCAAAGTGGATCTTGTTCATCTTTTTGTCGAAGCAATGCTTGACCTTTGCAATGAGCACCCTGTCAATCAGATCTGACACCGCCGCGACACTGTTGAAGTGCTGCTTCAGCACCTCTGCATCTTCACCAGTCGCCTGCCCATCACTCACGGCAACCTTCACCATCGCTGCCCAACTGTGGTACTGCGGCTCGCCTAAATCCTCCAGCATCTTGTGGTTGCGCTGTTCGCGCGCACCCTTTGCTTTCTCTGTAAAAATGCGCGTAGCCTCCTGAGCCTCGCTGACATACGGGGAGTCTTTGGAGATCACCACAGTTCGGAACACAGCGGATTGAAGCTCGCGGATTTCAAGAGAATGACGAAGTGAAAGCTGGGAAAGGAGTAGCAGCAATTTCCCCACCATGGCTTTGTCAAGCTCAGGCTTCTCGCTCACTGCCGTCCGGGGCTTCTTCTCTGCACGGCTGTCGCTCGAAGCAAGCCACCCGTCCATGCTAGCAAGAGTCACGAAGCAACTACTGGGGGGGAACTGCGTCCTGAGCTGCAGCTTGGGCTGGAGTAGGCCCAGCAACATGTGTAGTGATGCACTGCAACAAGCCATCCATGGTGTCATGCTCTGCTTGGCAATATGGACACGACACATCATCAACAGGCTGAATCTGATGTACAGTGGTGCACCCTTTGCCCTTACATCGTCCATGCTTGAAAGATCTCTGTATGTGCTGCTTGGCACAACGCTTGTCAACAAAGATGCAGCGACACCAGGGGCACACATTGCTGACGGCAGCCTGATATGCCACACCATTTTGACCATGAGTCCCGTTCTTTGTGAAAAACTTGTGGACAGCCAAAGCATGCCGCGACGCGAACTTGGCAGAACAAATGCTCCCGTCATCAAGCTTGCAGTCACAGGCGAACTGCAAGTCAGCCTCGAGCAGGACATCTGGCACTGTAGGGGGGATGGTATCTTGAAATCCCGGTGGTGGGATAGCCACACACAAGAACTGGCGCCGTAACACCGTGCAATCAACTGCCATGAACTGTTCTCGAAGATCAGTGAACATTCGAACGCAGCTACCCGCCAGATCTTGCACCAGACGCACACCGTCGTCCACTTCCCCCAATGCTTGGATGTCCTGCTGAAACTGCACCGCCCAAGGATTGCAGCCATGCGCAAGCCTACCATGACAATCCAGTGTAGGCAAAGTCTCGAACGAAAACCGTCCAAAGACAGCCGCAAGAAGTTGCACATGTTTATGCGGACATCTCGCCACATCCTGCCAGAGTTTGAGCCGCCGGACTCGCAGTTCAATGCTTGACGGCACCAACTGCAAGAACCTCCAAACTTTGTGCGACGGTACTGCATGATAAGCGATCTGCCCATCTTCCGACAAGATTTTGGCACAAGCATCACCACGCATGACTTTCCTACCCTTGGAGAGAACAAATCTATCCAGCCTGTCGTACTCGCCTTTGTGGAGCACCCGAGCCTCCAGGCCTGAAACCACATGTGAATACACACTGCTCTTGAATATGGTGACCAACGGCCTTGCGGCCACCTTGGGGCTGGACCACAGTTTCCCATAAGAGCACCATGCACCCTGCGCTGCCCGGACACGAGCAGTGATTTCCGGCCCATTGCCTCCAGCATACTGCGAAATGCCACCCAAATACTTAATGGTCCTGTGCATACCGCCCGCCACCAAAGCTTGAGAATAAGCGGCTCGCATGAAATCGTCTGAGCCTTGTCCACAAAAGAGAACATGATGAACTTGCTTGTCTGCGTTTTGCGCGATGCCGACCTTGGACAGAGCGGCGTCGAACAAGCAGTTGGACAAGCCAGAACGAAAGGCCATATCGTCAGGATTCGAGACCACATGTTTTTTGCAAACATCATCGGCATATGAAGACAAGGAACAGTCAACACGTTCTTGTGACACCGGGTCCACTGAAACAAACTCCTCGCCCACCGCTGTAAGCATGTCAGCGCAGTACTCGTCAATCGCTGGATGATAGGCAAGAAGGAAATGTTCGCAAGCGAACCCATCTCCTTGTAGAATGCCAGTCTGTGGCTGCACATTGATATTGCCATCACACGCTTTGATGCACATGTAAGCTTCGCTGTGCCGCTGCTGAAGAAGAGATGCATCCACTGGCTGCGCAACGCGCTCAACGCAATCGTGTAGGACGCTGCGAAGCGGACTGTAGAAGGCATTGGCAACATCATGCGAGGAGGTGAGAACGGACAAGCCGTGTTTCTTTGCTCGCCACGCAGTAGCGTTCTGCACCAGCATCGCATCCAATCGGCTTTTGTTACAAATGTATCCCGCGGCATAGTGCCGGAGATGCTGTTGTTTGCATCTGCCTCCGAGCCATCCGAAGTAGAGTTTGCCCATAGTGTCCAAGTTGTTGATGGCGCGAACACCAGCGCATTTTGCTTTGCCATTGTGCTTATCCAACTCAATGACCTCGCTCCTTTGCCATTGTACAGGAACTTCGTCGTAACTCCTGATAGAGAGGAGCAGCTGGTGAAAGAGTTTCTGAAAGTGGCCGTTAGGCAACGAGCATCTGTCAGCGTAGCCAATTCCGAACCTGACTTGAGAAAATTTCCAGGTTGGAAAAAGAACTTGTCGCCAAACCTCTGCTGGCATGCCCCAGGAAGGATACCCCTTTCGAGGCTGCAATCGACGACCCCGCTGGCAAATTCCGTGAAAATCGTGCCACGCAAGATCTTTGGCTGCATCAAGTGCACGCACCAGGGTCCTGGGCTGGCATGCTTTTTGAAAAACGTCCTCCCAATCAATGGACTTGGCCTGGCAACCACCATCAGGCCCGTCTTGTTGCAGATACGACAACCAGTACGAACATGTTGGCTGCACAGATTTTGGCCTGTCAAACCTGCGTCGCTTAGGTCCAAGTCTGAAGCCCGAGAGAAGTCGGCTGACACGGTAGCATCCCTTGAAATCCCGCTTGTGCCAAAAATAGTTGAGTTCGGCAACGCGCGCCTGCCTCCATGATTCACGATCGCGCTTGACAAGCACATCTGAAGCCCGACGTGCCCTCCAGAAGGCTGCCAATCGCTTCCACTGTTGGAGAAGGTTGGCCAAAAACTGCAGTGAGTCACGACTAGCAGCAGGAAGCACAGTCTGAACAAGGCATGTCTTGGCTGCCTGGGTATGGAACAGCGCCTCCCGCGTATCAGCAGGTCGATCACACTTAGTTTTTGCACCACCAGGCCACCAGAGTAATGCAGTTTGGTTGCCTGCGCCAGTGCATCATGCAAGGCCTGAAAAACAACAGTGGGTCGCTGTAGCACAGGAAGCTCAAGCTTCGGCAACGCCTGCTCACAAGCAATTTCAACGTCCGCAAGGAACTGTGGCCTACGCACGCCCTGCAACGCATCCTGTGCAAGGGAATCACGATCCAGTTGACGGTGAAAATCATGCTTGCGAGACTGATAATGCAAACCATGCTCGAAAACAACAGTGAGGGGGACATGATCCCGCAACCCTGCACAAGCATGCCACTGCAATCGGTACGCACGTGCTTTCTGAATGTAGCAGCGCGAAACATTATGCAGCCGAGTTTGTGGCAAGCATATGTAATCCACACGAGTCCCTCGACCAGTGGTGCCATAATATGTTGGTCCGCATGGATGAAAACTGTTAATGGCTGCCAGGTGGTGCAGCTCAAGTAGCTGTCTAAACTCGCTGCCATTGAAATTTTCAAGCGCGGCGTCCGCTTGCCCCACTGCTTCACTATTGATGTGTGCAAATCCGCCCTCATGCCGATGAAGCCCTGTGTGCCCGTTTGCATCCAGGAGGAGGACAGGAAGGCATCTATGAGGAAGCCTGTCAAGAAAAGCAGCCACATACATCCACAGGCGCTTAGCCTGTCTGCGCTGAGCATCTGTGTTGGGGGGGTGAGGCTCAGGATACTGATACACGACAATTGCGCACAAGTCCACATCACCACGAACAAGCCGCACTGCCCCGAACCTGCCCGCCAGTTCTTCAGGAGGCTGATAAACTTGTCTGACATTCCGATCATGGAATACATTCCGACGTAGCGCAATAGCCACACCAGCGGCTTGTTCAGCCCTCCCTGCTCTGCGCCCCCACTCAATCCACAAATGCGTGCCCACCTGTGTCTGGGACACTGGAATGCCAACCGCATCTTGGGAAGTACATGTGCCTGGTATGCCAATGATATGGGAATGCACAAGTTCACGAACGATTTGTTCTCGTCTGTAAGCAGTCCGACAAACATAAGGATTGTAAACGCTTGTAACCCATCGCATGTTACCATGGAGTCACACTGCAAGGCCGCCTGGAGGGCGTAGCCTACCAACTACTTTCTAGCCACCTGCACGCTCCTGTTAAGCTTGCGCCAACGGTGGCTCAAAAACATTTTAAATCTTAATACATATCAATCAGAATAATCACCATTCAAAGATAAAGTTAATGTGTAAGATATTTATTATAAAGTTCACATCCAGTCAATCTACATAAATTCAATTTTTGGTTGATCTTGATAAAAAAACCTGTTCTTCCATAAAATAGACAAACATGTTTTCAATGATACCTAAATTCATGTAATCTCGTTCTTCATAATGTTGTATTGGATGATAAAGAAGCAATTTCTTTTCCCTAACCGTGAGGCTACGTGCTAGCATAAAACAGGGGATTTCTTAACTTGACATCGCCTCCCAGTGGGGCAGGGGGGGAATGTGTGAGCTTTTGTATATGTGGGTTTACGACAATAAGGGACCCCTAATCTAGACCCCCCCCCCAAAAGGACCACGAAAAGGTATGCCTAATTTCGGCAAAACCCCAATAGACGAGTTATTCCCCAGTGGCATGCCGATGCGGGAGCCACTGCCATCCGGCAGTGCCACACGGGACTCAGCTGGCCAGGCCTTGCGACTCAGCGACTGAGGCTTCTAAACTCAGGGCTTGGGGTTTTGGGGAGTTTAGGGTTTAGGGTTTAGGGTTTGCAAGTTGAGGCTTTGAGGCTTTCAGGGCTGCAAGTGCTTCATTGGGTTAAATTAGGGGGTTTGGAGTTGTGGGCTATTCATTTTGGATTTAGATACCTGGAGTTGAGTCTTTGGGGTTTAATGTTCGGGGGAGGTCCGATCGCGTCACACATCGCCAGCTTTTGGCTTAGGGGGTTGAGGGTTTACCAGGCCCATCATTGTTTTGGCGGCTGCTTTGGCATGGCTGCAAGCCCACCAGCAGATGCTGCACTTTGATCAGCGCATGCAGAAGTTCGGGTTCTTCCATGTGTAAAGTGCACGCCTACACATTTGACATCTGCTTTCCACTCCCCTCAACTACAGAAAGCCTCTGGTGAAATGCAGGGCACTGCAAGCATGCTTTTCAAGAAGGAGGCACCCCATTTGGCTCACACATCAACGCCGGATATCTGAAACAAGCCCCCGCCCCCAACCCCCCCGGACCCCCCAATGTGAAGATTCGTGATTCGAGCAGAGAGTCTTCAAAGGTAGAGCCATGAGGGTTGTATTGATGACACTAGGGAAAAAATGTTCGCCATATCCAAGAAGAAAGCATCTTCAAATCAACTCCAATCTTTGCGCAGTGACTTATAACACCGGGCAAAAGTACAAAAAGACATATACCCGGACCCTGAGAATGCTCTGAAACATAGCCGCCCTTTATCCCAAAGCCCTACAAAAGGTTTAAGCCTCCAGGCCCTGGACTCTGAACCTCCCTAGGCAGCATAGCCTGGTTCGCAGGCAGTGCTGGCTGCAGCAGCTGCGGCGCTGGCGCCGCCACCAGAGCTGCCGCGTAGCCGCCCGGGGACCGGAGAAGTTTCCTTGTGGCACTTTGACTGTGACTCTGCAGAGAGGTTAGGGGGGTTGAGATCCTCATTCAAAAAACATGAGCCAACTGCGGATTCTTCAGTCCCCTTGTTGATTGAAGGCAAAGAACAGACGGAATTTATGGAAGTTTCGCTAGCCTGAAGTACTGTAGCATGAGCCGAAACACATCTCAAAGTCGCCGAGGAGTAAGCTTCCCAAACAAGGCCATCAAACCCTGGACCTTGACCAATGGCCCAATTCATGAGTTGCCAAGCGTCTGTCTGTGCCTGTGAAGACTGCTGTTGAAGAGCGCTTCCTTTTGAAACTCAGAATGCTTAGGGCTCAGGGCTTACCCAACCCCTCTTGGAATTTTAACGGATTATATTGAGAACCTCCTTCCAAATTTCCTACTAACAACTATTAAGTTTCAAGAGTCCAGTGACTGAAGCCGACGAATGGATCCAGCCCTAGTCAGAAGCTACAGTTCCGGAACCATAAGGCAGGTTGTCTCGAAGACCACCCTGAAACAAGTTTCGGGCTTCGGGTTTAAGGGCGGTAACCTTAACCTACACCAACACCCCTACCTCCACCCCCTGCAACAATCTGCATCTCGACGTCTTCTTCTTCTTCTTCTTCTTCTTCTTCTTCTTCTTCTTCTTCTTCTGGTTGTTCTTCTTCTCTGAGGTGGCGGAGTCGCCACATTTTTGGGGGAGTTGGTGAGTCTCCAAGGAAGTCAGGACATATCGGTGGTCAGTGGAGTGTGAGTTTAGGGTCAGGGTTGCTTAGGTCTGTCTCGAAATTATGGTCCGTTTATAGTTCCCGCTAGGGGAAGCTTTTTTTGTTGTGAGACCAATGATATCAAGAACTGCCCACAAGGCATTTTGTGGGTTTGGGGTTCGGTGTTCCGGGGTTGAAGACTCTGAAATTTGGTACCCTGAAGTGCACCTATACATGCGGCTGTGAGGGTTATCGCAGCAACTTTGCAATGACTGAACTTCCCTCCTGCCTCGGTCAAAGCCTCAGGCACGGATGCGCTCGCCAAAGCCGCAGACGCTTGCTCTGGGCGAGTGGTCGCCACTGATCCCAGGTACTGGCAAGCTTGCTCGGCAGCCGCCTGCATGGCCTCCTTTCTGTTCGAGCAAATCTTGCCAGAGAAGCTTTGCTCGGAGCCACTTCCTCCATCAAGCCTCACCACCACTTTGCAAAGAAAGCCTTGACCAGGTCCTCTTGGCTCCGTCACATCATACTTCAGAACATCCTCGGTTATGGCTTTCCTCGTCCTCTGCGACACAATCACTCCCAACTTTGACTTGTAGTCTTTGGCCTGCCTTCCGCCATCGGCCACGACCTCTACGTGATTCTCCACGGGTGCTGATGCGCTCGCCAAAGCTGCAGACGCTTGCTCTGGGCGAGTGGTCGCCACTGATCCCAGGTACTGGCAAGCTTGCTCGGCAGCCGCCTGCATGGCCTCCTTTTTGTTCGAGCAAATCTTGCCAGAGAAGCTTTGCTCGGAGCCACTTCCTCCATCAAGCCTCACCACCACTTTGCAAAGAAAGCCTTGACCAGGTCCTCTTGGCTCCGTCACATCATACTTCAGAACATCCTCGGTTATGGCTTTCCTCGTCCTCTGCGACACAATCACTCCCAACTTTGACTTGTAGTCTTTGGCCTGCCTTCCGCCATCGGCCACGACCTCTACGTGATTCTCCACGGGTGCTGATGCGCTCGCCAAAGCTGCAGACGCTTGCTCTGGGCGAGTGGTCGCCACTGATCCCAGGTACTGGCAAGCTTGCTCGGCAGCCGCCTGCATGGCCTCCTTTCTGTTCGAGCAAATCTTGCCAGAGAAGCTTTGCTCGGAGCCACTTCCTCCATCAAGCCTCACCACCACTTTGCAAAGAAAGCCTTGACCAGGTCCTCTTGGCTCCGTCACATCATACTTCAGAACATCCTCGGTTATGGCTTTCCTCGTCCTCTGCGACACAATCACTCCCAACTTTGACTTGTAGTCTTTGGCCTGCCTTCCGCCATCGGCCACGACCTCTACGTGATTCTCCACGGGTGCTGATGCGCTCGCCAAAGCTGCAGACGCTTGCTCTGGGCGAGTGGTCGCCACTGATCCCAGGTACTGGCAAGCTTGCTCGGCAGCCGCCTGCATGGCCTCCTTTTTGTTCGAGCAAATCTTGCCAGAGAAGCTTTGCTCGGAGCCACTTCCTCCATCAAGCCTCACCACCACTTTGCAAAGAAAGCCTTGACCAGGTCCTCTTGGCTCCGTCACATCATACTTCAGAACATCCTCGGTTATGGCTTTCCTTGTCCTCTGCGACACAATCACTCCCAACTTTGACTTGTAGTCTTTGGCCTGCCTTCCGCCATCGGCCACGACCTCTACGTGATTCTCCACGGGTGCTGATGCGCTCGCCAAAGCTGCAGACGCTTGCTCTGGGCGAGTGGTCGCCACTGATCCCAGGTACTGGCAAGCTTGCTCGGCAGCCGCCTGCATGGCCTCCTTTTTGTTCGAGCAAATCTTGCCAGAGAAGCTTTGCTCGGAGCCACTTCCTCCATCAAGCCTCACCACCACTTTGCAAAGAAAGCCTTGACCAGGTCCTCCTGGCTCCGTCACATCATACTTCAGAACATCCTCGGTTATGGCTTTCCTCGTCCTCTGCGACACAATCACTCCCAACTTTGACTTGTAGTCTTTGGCCTGCCTTCCGCCATCGGCCACGACCTCTACGTGATTCTCCACGGGTGCTGATGCGCTCGCCAAAGCTGCAGACGCTTGCTCTGGGCGAGTGGTCGCCACTGATCCCAGGTACTGGCAAGCTTGCTCGGCAGCCGCCTGCATGGCCTCCTTTTTGTTCGAGCAAATCTTGCCAGAGAAGCTTTGCTCGGAGCCACTTCCTCCATCAAGCCTCACCACCACTTTGCAAAGAAAGCCTTGACCAGGTCCTCTTGGCTCCGTCACATCATACTTCAGAACATCCTCGGTTATGGCTTTCCTCGTCCTCTGCGACACAATCACTCCCAACTTTGACTTGTTGTCTTTGGCCTGCCTTCCGCCATCGGCCACGACCTCTACGTGATTCTCCACGGGTGCTGATGCGCTCGCCAAAGCTGCAGACGCTTGCTCTGGGCGAGTGGTCGCCACTGATCCCAGGTGCTGGCAAGCTTGCTCGGCAGCCGCCTGCATGGCCACGACAAAGGCTTCAGAAATCTGCGGAGGATTCAAGCCGTAGGAGTCTGGCTAGCATAAAGCAGTTACCCCACCTCTCTTTATTTGGCACTTTTTCGCCTGGAATGGGTACAACCCCACCCCGCCACCCTACCCCCGTCACCCCTGCCGGCGCTATGCCATGCACCGGTTGCAGAGTCTCGGGGTTCGAGGTCAATCATGCCATTTGCAGGTTCACAGCGTATCCAGAGTAAGGGTATGAGGTTTCGGGTTTAGCGGGTGCTCTGTATATCATCCTGGCATATATGCGCCTGTGTGGACCATGACAGCATGTGTCGAAGACTTCCTGAACGCTACTGGCGCTACGCCGCTCGGCAGGCCCCGGCCGAGGCGGGGTCGCAAACTTGAAAATTAGAGTTTTGATGAGGCAGGGTTCGCGGGTTGATTGAAGTTGAATGTCGCGTCGAAAAACTGTTGAATAGCTTTACCTATAGAAGCAGAGAGCTCCCTCTGTGTCGCGTCTCATATCGCAAGCTTTAGTTTAGGCCTTCGGGTTTATGGGCCCGGCCGCCCATCGTTGTTTTGCGTTTACGGTTTCGGGCTTAATTGAGGTTAGGATTTAAGGTTTAGGATCGCATGGCTGCAGACTCACACAAGGAGAGCGACTGTGCCGCACGTTGAGCAGCCTCTTCCACGTCAAAATGCTTGCCTTCTGAATCTGGATGTGGTCCGTGTTGAATGTACATTCTGCTTTCGTTGAGAAATGTGAACAATTGCTTCACCCAGAAAGCCCCTGGTGAAATTCAGGGCACTGCAAGCATGCTGTTCAAGGAAGGAGGCTCCCCTTTGGATAAAAGGGAAGAAACAACAACAAACACAAGTGAAGAATATTTCGGCCTATTTGGACTGCTATGCTCGCAAAACTTTCTGTTGGAAGCAGGTACATCGAAAAACGCATGGTTCAAACCGAAACAGCAATCATCTTCTTCACAGGCTACTCGTCACGCATGCAGATGTAGAGAACCAACTTCCAAGGTAGAGCCGCATGGTAAAACGTGCGAAACTACTATGAAATGTGGCGAGAATGCTCGTCGGGTAGGAAAACCTGTCGAATCAACTCCGATCTTCGATCAGTGACTTGTAGCGCGGGGCAACGGACAAAAACACCTCCCGTGCCCTGAACCCTTGTAAATGCCGGAACTCCCTGAACCCTCAAGCTGACCCAAAGGCCGTAATTGACTCTTTATCCCAAAGCCGTGTGCAAGTTTCAAGTCTCCAGGCCCTGCACTCTGAACCTCCCTAGGCAGCATGGCCTGGCTCGCTGGCGGTGTTGGCTGCAGCAGCTGCGGCGCTGGCGGCGCCGCCACCGGGGCTGCTGCCGTGTAGCCGCCCGGGGACAGGAGGAGTTTCCTTGTGGTTCTTTGACTGTGGCTCAGAGGGGCTCAGAGGCTCATTCAAAAACATGAACCAACTGCGGATTCTGTAGTCCCCTTGTTGAGTGGAGGCAAAGGCAAAAGCATGTCAGCAAGTTTCCGCAAACAAAGCTTCTCATCAAAGTTGACTTAATAAGGCTGTCAAGACCTAGACCTTGACCAATGGCCCAATTAAATCATGAACCGCCAAGCGTCCTTCTGTGTCTGTGAAAGCTGCTGTTGAGGTGCGGTTCCTTCCGTTGAGGCTCAGAAGAATTGAGCTCACAGGGCTTAAGGCTGTTGTGTAAATACAACTACCCACTTAGTGTAAAATATACGGACAAAGCAACAATCGTTCCAACTATAGCTTCCAGACGCTTCCCGTTCACGCCATCGAAAAGCAGGCTTCGACGAGTGTGATTGAGGTTTAGGGCCAAGTTTAGGGTTTGCGGGGTGTCGTTTTTGGACGGGCCCTGTCCAATCTGGAATGCAACTCAAGCCGCGGACCATAAACCGAACAATCAAGGAACACTCGGAAATGAAGCCCTCGACAACTCTCAACCCAAAGAGACAGACTACTGCCAACAAAATCATCCTCCCACCTCACACCCACCTTGCGAAATGCCGCCAAGATTCAAGTGTAGTGCAGTTGGCGACTTTCTCACAAAGTTGGCAGAAGAACGCGCCCTGCACTTCCTGCAGAGCATAAGCAGTCTCCTGAATGCTGAAACGCATAAACGCTACGTAAGGTGACAGGCTTGTTTGCTCAAGGGGGTTCAAGGACAGTGCGGCGGAACTGGTGGCCAAAAGTACCAATAACTATGTCCAAACCTCCTAAAACCTCATCATGCAATCCCGAGTGGATTGGATCCCCCGCACTTCACGAACCACCTGCTTTAACAGGCCAACTCAGCGCAGCAGCAATGAGATCCGAAACCAAACACCACGCGAGGAATCCGAAACCCTAAAACTCCTAACGCTTGGACTGGACCCATGTCTCTCGGGTCCTTCCGGGTTCCAGGTTCTACTTCTACCTCAGCTGGCTGAGTTTATAGCTTACAGTAGGCTCAGGCTTGAAAATCCAACGAATGCAACCCCCTTTCTGGGTTAAGGACGACCGGTAGGCAAGATCCCCAACACCAAAAACAAAAGACATCCGACGATCCTTGGGAACAACCAACATGCAGAATCATGGGGTGTGCCCTGTCAATCAGCAGAAGCAACGATCAACTGTGCTCCCGCTCACATGCTGAATCGCCCCCGATACCCGGCACCACGTGCATCATGAAATGCCGATGTCTCTCTCGGGCATTGTGCGGATACTTCCCAACGTATGCGCTACCCCATGTGGCCTTCCATCCACAATTGGCCGGTCTGGATATCTATCTCATCATTGTCGGTCTCGCAAACTTTAGTCGTGAGATTCCTTATTCGGTGAAGTCTGTCCTCTCGTTTTTGGCCGAGGAGTTTGTGTCAGCCGCCTGCCCCGGTAATCATGCCCGGCTGGTGACTGAACCGGTGTCAGCATCAGGTGCCGACTTCGACCCATTCCGAACACCTAAGCCGACAAACTCCCATGTCCACCGTGTCGCCCAGTATTTCATGGTGATCTCGTCATAGCTGGCCTTGCAATGAAGAGGTGTCCAACCTATTCGAGGTTTAGGGTTCAACGCTGTAGGGCTTTCGGCGTTTAGGGCTCGGGTCCAGAGACATTCCAGCCTTGTGGTAGGGGGTTCGGCCGACAGTGTAGGGAGGTGGGGGCTTGGTGAATCAGGGGCTTAAGGGTTTCCAAGGGAGGTTTCCAACACACCGGGTGTACCGGGCCGTACGGTATAATACATACAGGGCAGGCTCTTCGTCGTTTTGCTTCTGGGCTTTCGGGTTCAAAGCGTAACTTGTTGCCGAATGTTCAGGGCCCGGAGATGGAAGTGCTCTAAGACTGGACTGGAGATAAAGCATCTCGGGTTTGGGGCCCAAGCCCTTGAACCTTAAACTCCCTGAACAACCGCTCCTCCAGAACCTTCTCCGTGAAGGCACGCTTCTTCAACCTCGGCCCAAGGTCGCCCAGGGTTTCTGGCTTTGGGCTTGTGGATGCTTGTGGCTTCGGATGCCGGTGTCAAGGCCCAGGGCCCTAGAAAGTGTCCTTTCCGTGACCGCTGGTAGACTGTTTCCCCCCCCCCCCCCCCGTCCCCCATACTTCTTCGAGGTATCAGCCATTGATTTCAACCGAGCCCCCATGTCCCTGCAAACGTACATCAACCACCACATGTTCGATTGCTGGTCCTGATGCGGAAATCCTCCACGCTAGCCCGCGATCTCCAGACCCTGAAGCCCGATCCACAACGCGTGCCCCCCATATGAGCCCTTAGGATTCCTTTTGCAGAAAACCCTCACTTGCACCCGGAACTCCTGAAACTTCGCACTGCAACCATCCCGCAGCCTAAGCCTCCCCAGTGGCAAGGAGGCTCCATGAATTTGGTCCTTTCAAAACCTAAACCATCTAAACCTGCAACTTCTCATTAAGATCCTGGGGAATGCAAACTTACTCGCCCTAGCACCGCTTCAATTTCAATCAAGGCGGTGCTTGAGACCATAATCGTACGAGTAGCAGTGCATACTGATCGCGGCCTTGTAGTACCAAGGAACCAAACGCATAACAAGAGTGAACGAATCAACGAAGCGAACGGACGCTACACCTCACACAGTATTTCGTTCAAGCTTATTTCTTTGTATCAAGCTAGCTTCAATATGTTCTGTCCATTGAGTAGCTGTGTGACGCAATGACATGGAGGCATGCAGATGATCAAGCAAACATAGTACAGTACATGCTAGGTACAAGAAAACAATCTATTCTCAATGATTTCCAAGTTGAAAAAGCTAGTTCGCCTAACACATTTGCTGATTTCTTCTACTTTCTCTGTGTTAAGGCTTCCCTGATCTGAACCCAGCATGGCGCGACATCCAGAACACCCCCAACCGCAAACCCTAAACACGTCAAGGATCTCTTCGTAATGCCATCTCCATTGGCCTCAGCTGTTCTTCAGGGACTGTTTGGCTTGGGGGCGCAGTGGAAGCTCGGCTTCGGGTCTTACATGCTTAAGGCAGTCAGTTTCAGCGGCCTTGACCCCTGTTCCCTTTTGAGCCCACTTTAAGACTGTAAGAGCATGAACACCCTGAAAACGCATGATATTAATGGTAGCCAATGGGCCAGGATTTCGATGTGCTTCAGGGGATGCTATTTCCGGGTGGATCTAGGGGGCTTGAAAGAGGGCTCAGTACAGTTTAGGTGCATTTGCGGCCGAATCAGAGAAAGTAGTAAGCCATCTTCACTGGTCACCCTAGATTTCCCTTATCAGCTCATAGGAACCCCTTACCAGCTCATCCCACCAAGGACCTTGAGGTCAACCCAACATCTTAGGCTTTGTGGCCTCGGGTTCGAGTCGGAAGCTCTGTTTTGTCACTTGGGCTCACTACCTTTCTGCCCCAAAATAAGGCCCAAATACGTGTAATAAGCCCTAATATTCTCCGACCTACACGCAGGGGGTTACTGTGATGTCAACTTTCGGGTTGCAGACTGAGGGGGTTTAGGGATAGGGTTTAGGGTTT